CAGGATAATTACTTTCTCTTATTGCCTTAAATGTTAAAGGTTTGTTTGCATACACACTAATTTTTCGTTATTTACATAAGATTGGTGATCTTGTTCACACAATGTCCGCGTCGTACTGATGCCTATCTGAGAACAGTGTTCACATATCGCTTTCAAACGCTTTGCGTTTCGTTATTTCCGTGTGTTTATTGCGTTTGAGTCCATATTTCGCTTCATCCATGTCAAAATCCGTTCGCCAGAAAATAAGTGCGCCTTGATATGTAAGCCCTCTTATTATGACTGGACTGCAGGTGTGACAAAACTGCATCTAAAACACCGCTTTCATTTCCTGGCCTTAACCGAGTTCCTCATTCATTAGCCACGCCGTCATACCCGGACCTGACCAACCCCTGCTGCCGACTGTTGCGCCGCCTGTGCCGCCACGAGTGGGGGCACCTGCCGACGGTGATGGGCTCTGACGGCCTGCCGCAGGAGACAGCTACATACCGTACTACCCCACTGGGGACGTGTACTTCCGCCGCCGCCGCAGGGCCCGGCCCGCGCCGCACGGGTTCCGCAAACGCAGGTGAGAACGTCCGTGAGGGTGTCGTCGCAATCGAGGCACGTCCTTAATGGATGAGATCCGCAGAATTCGCAGATAAAAAAAAATTGGAAAGTCATCAGGTAATGTCTGGTTTCTTTCCAGTCACATATTTTGTCGAAGGCGATGGGAATACAGATTTGTTTTTATTTCCCAGCGTACGAGCATTTCCTCGTAAAGTAGCGGTGCGGCATTTTTGGGATAATGGTAAATAGACACATCTGACATTTCTTGTGTCTTCCACCCTTTGATGAGACGGAGAATAAGCAATGCCTTTGATATCTTGGTTTTTAGCATCGCTTGAGACGTGGCGCTGCTAATTTTACATCTTTGAAAATTGATGTTGCAAAGTCAGTATCGATTTCCTCGAAATCCAACGCATTGTGCACAATTAACTAATTCGAGTCATGGCATATTGACATATGACATATAACATTAAGTTTTGGAAGCTTGTAGAGATGTCTGATCAGTTTTTAGATAGTTAAAGCACAAAATACTTCAAGCGTACCTCTCGCATTTTAGCGATGTTCCTGCCGTCCATGTGAGCTGAATCATTAAAGGGAATGCTCCACAGTTGATGATATTGGAGCAAGCACCAGTGATAAAACAAGCTCGTTACAACTATTGGTATATTTTTCAACGGGAAAAACTGCTTTAGACGACACAATTTATCTGACGTCATTAATGCCAAGGTGGTATTGAAATCCCTCTCCGAAATTCCCTCCCGAGTTTCGCGGGTGTGTAGCTAGGAAACTAGACTGGTTTAGGTTTCGAGAAGGGCGGTATTGTAAACTGCACCAAAGTGTCTTCGAGATGGCTATTTCGGTTCAAAATCCCATAGCTATGCAATGCTGGTTCATGGAACACAGTGACCTCATTTGACTCGTTTTACGTGAAGGATAGCAAGATCTGACTTTGAATCTGTCCTGGCTTGGCTAACCGATACTGCCAGATCCGTGCGGGTGCTAGGGTGCTTGAGAAGCGGGATTCTTTAAGATTTACAACAACGTAACGTTGAGCAGGAATTGTGTACCCTGGAGGCGTTTGATTTGAAAAGCATAGTCTCACCGGGAGTTTAAAATATTTACTTGTATTCACATGTCAGCAGTGGCGATATCGTGAAATTATTCTAATTACAAGTCTTATTTCCGTAATAAGCAGCCATGTCAAGCGTCTTATAGGCACGTGGCACAAAACGTGTTACTGACGTCAACTTCTTCTGAAAATCACGCTCACGAACGACGAATTTAACCGGCTCAACGATTAAAGTCTTCTCCGCCTTGACCGCCTCACTGCCGATGGGATAGCGGGATTTGAATGACGTTTACCTGACGTCATGCACGCCTGAGGGGCCCTGAAATAGCCTGCACAAAATAGTCATAGCCAATCTGGCATCCGCTTTTCGCGGGACACTCATGTTACGGAGTGGCTCGTGCCGCTCCAGAGCCGGTTGGATCTGCCTCATCTGGGCGTTTTCATTTGCTCAGAGGCACCATCCGGGTGTTATAATTTGCTCAGGGGCACCATCTGGGTGTTATCATCTGCTCGGATGCACCATCCGAGTGTGCCATCCCATCTGTACCATCCGAGTGTTGTTATTCGGAAGTAGGTCGACTCGTCGCCGCGAACACTCGTCAGGACAAGCTGATTTATGTCTGAGCTAATGAGGGGCGTATCCGTCCAGGGGAAAAACTGATCGGCCCAAAAGTGAAAACGTAAGGCGTCGAGCTTCTGTTACTGCATCTAGGTCGGCTAGTTTGGCGAAGGATATCGAATTGCTTGCTCGGATTTAGGCGGAAACTTGAAGGAGCCAAACTGACCGCTGATCCTGCGTACTGTTGTTGATAGCGCCGTCTTCTGGACGGTGTCATGAATGGCGGTCAATCGAAGAGTTGACAAGAATTGAATGCATCATCCTTTTCAATTATTCTAAGCTTTTGTGCAACCACTAAATCATCTGGAACTCTGAATTTCCTCAGCTCATTGTTCTTCCACGCGCTTTGCTGAAAGCACGTAGCAGTAGATAGCCTTCCAGATGTCTACAGCTTAGTGCGTGCTGAAGTGGTCTCTGAATATCGCCAGCTGAAAGTGACCAACTAAATAACATGTTTGACCAGTATTGGTCGCAGTGATGTCAAATTACCGTGGCTAAGGGAAGTTTAAGATCAGTTTTCCGCCCGCAGCGTTTTCTCCAGCGGATAAAATCAAGTTAAGTGAAACTGCAACGGCTTTAGCTGCCTTTTGTGGCTTGAAAATTGCCCGTGTGCATGGGCGAACTTTAACTGTGCGGACTACTGTGCTTTTTTAGGACATGCAAAGGAGCATTGGTCCTTAGACCATTACAACTACTGCTACTTTTAAGTGCCGAAGCGTCCATGTAGGCCGCAGGGCTATAGAGCGTGATCTCCTGTAGCTCAGCCTGACTGATAAACCACACGAGAAAGGGCAGAACCGCGCAAGGCGTATTACGTGAGGCTGCCGCGATAGCAGATGCGCCATTACTGCCCCATTTTCCAACTTTTCACTGTGAGAGTGTTGAAAGATGGCCGCTCTGCAGCTAGGTGCATCTCCCGTGTCGTTCAGGTACTCCCAGACACCCAGGGAGTCCTCAGACGGTCGCTGTTGGCGGCTGGTCTACTGCACTTAGCTGGCAGTTCTGCCCGCTGGATGACACAATACTCGGCTGGATCAATAACTTCGCCAATTCCCATCACGCTGCAGTAAATTCAAATTATTTAGGAAGAGCGCCGCTACCATAATAGCTCGTAAAGACGCTCATCTATCAGGCACATCCGCGAAAGTTGAGATATGAAGCCTTGGAGGGGCGTATCGTCCTTCGCATTGCAAGGGTGAATAATCACGTTGGCACCGTTTGACCGGCATAGGTGCCATTCGTCTTCATCATGCAATATGCCCGCGGGTATGGGTATGCCATAACATTGAGTACCGTGACGCGAGTCTGGCATACGGCGAGCGCACGTGCTGGAAGTTTCCCGGTAGTGGTATGCATGCTGAGGCACCGTTTTAGCGTCAGAGGGCATTCCTAGGGCATCGTTGGATGCCGTTTGCATTTCCGGAATGCGAACAACGGAGATGGAGCTGGCAACGATATTTAGTGCCAAAGGCGTATGCGCCAAAGCTCCAGCCCGCGTGGCTCTGGCTTCCGCATCCAGGTCGCATGACCCTGACCTCCGTGTCAGTCCTGTGCAGCCCTGACCTCCGCCCCACCCATGTGACCCTGACCTCCGTGTCAGTCCCGTGCAGCCCTGACCTCCACCCCACCTATGTGAGTCTAGCTACCGTCTCAACCCCGCGTGACCTCGAGCCCTCTCCGTCCGTGTGACCCTGACTTCCGTCCGCAGCGCATCGATCCCTGCACGCAATGGGATGCGCCCGAGCCGCCTGTCAGCAACGCCTCAGCGCAGGAAGCGACAGATCCGTCTCAACGATAATGACCTGGGCGCCCTGATCGCGTTCCTGACGGACCTCAAAGTCACCATGGAGGTAAGACGAGGCGCAAGGTGAGAAAATGAGAGAGATGGGGAGAGTAAACGGCGTTGGAGAGAAGCAGGAGAGGTCTTAGGATGAAAGAAGAAGAGAAAGTGAAGGAAAAGAGTGTGATACGGAGAGTGTGAGTGGGGGAGAGATTGAGACAAAAAGAGTGGGAAAAAGGCAGAAAAATATCGGACGGATGCAAGAAAGGAAAAAATAGACAGTGGAGAGAGGGCGGGGAAAGAGTGAGAGAGAGGGGGAGAGAGAGGAAGAGAGAGAGAGAAGAGAGAGAGAGAGAGAGAGAGAGAGAGAGAAGAGAGAGAAAGAGAGAGAGAGAGAGAGAGAAAGAGAGAAAGAGAGAGAGAGAGAGAGAGAGAGAGAGAGAGAGAGAGAGAGAGAGAGAGAGAGAGAGAGAGAGAGAGAGAGAGAGAGAGAGAGAGAGAGAGAGAGAGAGAGAGAGGCAGAGAGAATCAGTCCTATATGAACTTGTGGATGTCCATTTCTGTCGCTGTGTGGTGCCTTGCGCTATTTATACCTTCCAATGTTGTTGCGGATGGAATCATAATGCTGTTGATGGATTCTTGGTTTGAATGCAAACGCATTTATAAACAAACAATGCTCTAAAGCGGCTTGTGGCAATATAGCAACTGAATCTTTGCCGTGCAATGAAGCCAAAATAATGTTTAATGCACTCACGTAACCGGCTCAGGCGCTGTGCACTGGTAGGCATTGTTAACTTTGACCAGGGAACCGACCTACTGGACTCGCAATTGGCTGATATCAGGGTGCCTGGAGCACTTCACGGGCCGTTCTAGCCAGGCTCACCACCTTGCCCGGGCAGTCAAACAAGCAATTTGACACATTCCAAGGAAATTTGTTGGGTCAGGGCAGGTTTGGATCAGGCTGCAAAATTTCGACGTCATCAAAATTTCTTTGTCCATCACGTGTAGATGTTGAGCCGTGTTATGGAGTTATGACATCCTCGGTGAAGGCTTTGACTATTATTTTCTATTTCTTTAGGCAGAAGCTCCCAGTTCTACGCTTGTTTTCAATTGCTTGCATAATTCCTCGGCTGGTTTTATTGTGTGCCTGTCGAGACATGCCAACCAATGCGAGTCACACCATGTCACCAATTGAGATCATGTGGGGTCAGCTTGAAGCTGCTGCTTAGTGTATGAACTCTTTGATCCGGCGATGAAATCATGGGACGGCATTGTGATGCTATCAAGCGCCGGGCGATCCCGGTTGGTGGAATATCGCAGTCTGTGCCGGGGTAACAGCGCCCCGCATTGGTCCAATCAGCTGACGAACCAATCACAATCGTCGACAGCGCTCGTCAGGGGAGTGCAATAATCCGTCCCACCACTCCTTCTTCCGGGAGAACGAGCTGAACGAGGAGCTCGGAGCGGGAAGCGGGATCGATGAGGACTACACGGACGGTGAGGACCGCCACGTAGCAGCGTGGTAAGGGGGCGCCGGGGCAATGGGAGTTGACGTCTACCAAGCTCCCATTATGCGAAATTCATTCTTGCGGCACGAGCCTCCGTTCCCGGGCGCTGACTCATACTAAGCCCCCAGCATGCGGCATTCATTCTCGCAGCACGAGCTTTCATTCCCTTCCAGGAACATTGCAACCCGTGTAGATCTCGACAAAATGCCGAGAACGATGAGCAGCGTGTGTGGCTTTGAGTCGGTAGTGTGGGATCTTCCTCGACCTTGCGAGCGGTCTCTCAGTCCGACGGTCAGCGGTCTCTCAGTCCGACTCAGTCTCTCAGGCCTCTGTGCATGACGCTTTCATGAATAACACGCAGCTAATACCAGCACCAGGGTCTACCTCTGGCTGGATAGCCTAGTCCCGCCCATTGCATTGTGCGGCGCGCCGAGAACGACACGGCTGCGACCGACGTCTGAGCGCTGCCACGCTGTTGTCTGACGTCCCTCTCCCTCTCGCCCCTGTTGTCTGACGCCTCTCTTCCTCTCGCCCGTGTTGTCTGACGCCCCTTTCGCCCCTCCGCCATCCCTCCAGACGAGGAGCCGCGCCCGGCTCCCGAGCAGGAGATCCCCGTCTGTTGTCCGACGTCCCTCTCGCCCCTCCGTCATCCCTCCAGATGAGGAGCCGCGCCCGACCTCCGAGCAGGAGTTCCCCGTCTGTTGTCCTGACGTCCCTCTCGCCCCTCCGTCATCCCTCCAGATGAGGAGCCGCGCCCGGCTCCCGAGCAGGAGTTCCCCGTCTGTCGTCTGACGCCCCTCTCGCCCCTTCTCCATCCCTCCAGACGAGGAGCCGCGCCCGGCGCCCGAGCAGGAGTTCCCCGTCTGGCTGATGCCGCATTCGTACCAGTTGGAGCCGGCGATACCGGCCCCGCAGCGGCGCGCCTTCTACTACCCCACCCTGCTGCCGGGCCAGAAGAGGGCGTTCGGACCGCGTCTGCCCGCCGCCAAGCTGCGCGAGGTGAGCTGTGGCGCGGCTCGACCCCAGCGGGTGCAGCCGGGCAGAGCCGGCCGTGCGCTGAATTCGGGAGAGCTCGCAGCTGGGGTCGAATGCCCCCGAGCGAGGGCTAACTCACGGAGTTGAAGCGGCACGCGGCAGGGTTGATCTGTGCCCGTGGTGGAAAAGGACAGGGAGGTGAAGCTAATCGCGAGAGATGGGGTGTATGGTGAGGGGAGAGGGAGAATAGAGTGGGAAGTTACTACAGCCCTGCATAAAATATGATGTTTTCCAGCCCCAGCCAGTTAGAATTATGTTAAGTAGATGGTTGCCAACATGTAGGGGAATAACCAGAGTCTTTTGAAGTGAGGGGGCGGGTGATACGGGGTCGACAACGGTCCTCTGGTGGTGAAAGCCCCTCCCGCTTAAACAAATATATCAAGATATGGCCCACTTCAATTTGGGAGCATGATTTTCTTCCCTTCATAAATGTAATCTTTTTTATGTAAAGAGAAGTGAAAAGTCGCCGGAAGGTGCAATTCTATTTTCATTTCAAAGTTAATAGACTGAATTAATTACACGTTAAACGACTTCATGGAAAACACCACCGTTGCTCTTCCTTTTACAATGGCTCAGTGGACTCTTTCTAGAGCAAGATCACTCAGGGGCTGCAAAAAATTAACTGCTTTCTGTACAGATATATGATGACCCCGCGAACGCACATTGTAGGTCAAAACGGGGTCAAAATGTTGAGTTGACCTGGCCAATTCATGTCTGCCTGGAGATGTGTACCCTTTGCTCAGAATTGAGCGGTGAAAACGTAATGTAAGACAGTGATGAGCATGCTGACTGGCAAGTCTCAGAAACAAAGACCCGAGCATCCGACGTTACCAGCTCTGTAAGCTGCGCGTTGCCGGCTCCGCGCCAAACAATAGGCGGTGGCTACTGGGCGCGCGAAAACCATGGCGTATCTGAAAAGGGTACCCTTGAACGCTTTAAGACATCAACTCGCGCATTTAACGCCTCCGGCCAGCCCTCTGGGTCATGTCCATGACTGTCTCCGGCAGAATCGGGGCCAGTTGCTGCGCGGGCCCGCTGTTGGGCACTCTGGGCACCTAGCCAGCACTTGGGGCCCCTCATAGAATCAGGGGCCCCGACTGATGTAAGTCGAGGGGCCCGGCTTTGTCCATCCCTGAATAAAGGGTCCTCAGGTCCGGACCGACACGAAGCCCACTGCTCGGTGTCGGTGGTACGTGGTCGATAAACAGGCCGTCATCGACTCAGGAAGTCCTCGTTAGAAATGTTCATCGTTTGGAAACTGGCCCCAGAGCTCAGACCAGAACGGAGCCGACTGTTCGGTACGGGTGGTGGCTGACCGATACACAGGCCCTCATCGACCCACGGGTCCGTGATCGGCGCAAAAGGCCCTCTGACTGACATTTGAAAGTCCTGCTCCGCGTTCCCCAAAAGCGGCCACTAGTCGCCGGTCCCAAGCGCCTTTACAGCTCCTTGAACGCCGATTCTGAATGGCATTTTAAAGTCCTGCTCTGCGTTCGCCAAAGCCCCCATTAATCGCCGGTCCCAAGTGCCTTTCTGGCGCCTTAAACACCGTCCCTGACTGGCGTTTGAAAGTTCTGCTCTGCATTTGCCAAAGCGCCCACTAATTGCCGGTCCCAGTCGCCTTTCCGGCCCCTTAAACGCCGATCCTGACTGCCTCGAGACCCGTTGCCAACTCAGGACCACTTGGTAAGAAGAACCCTGGCCCCGGACCAACACAGGACCACTTGGTAAGAAGAACCCTGGCCCCGGACCAACACAGGACGCCTTGGTAAGAAGCGCTCTGGCCGCTGATCAACACAGCGGCCCCTCATTGTGTCATTGGCCACGCCCAATGTAAACTACGCCCTGCTTGGGAAATGGGCTCTCAAGCCCAGATCTTCGGAAAACTTCCGATCAGCCCCTCGGGCCCCTTCGAACACTGTCCCTGGCAAATTCGGGGAACCTTCTCAACATAGCACCAACAGTGACGGGCAGTTTGAATCGCTGACCCCGGCATTGTGTCTCCTTAGAAAGGGGCGCCAGGCCCGACTGGCACAGAGGCGGCTGCCTAGCAATGGTAGTACCTGACCGAATAGAGATCCTCATCGACTCAGGAGCCCCGATCGGCGCAAGGGGCCCTCTGACAGGCTCTTGAAGGCCTGGCCCTGTGGGCCAAGCCCCGTTAATGTGGTCTCCGACCACCTCTTTGGGCTCTTCTGGTCACCAATTCGGGCCCTGGATCGTCTGTTCCGGGGATCTAAGGGAGAGTCATGTGCCCCCTGTGCCTCCCCCCCCCCTCCTCCCCACGTGCGCCATTACTAACATGCATTATTTTCACGTTCAACCACTGCACGTAAATAAAGGGAGTATAGACTTATCATATCTACAAGTGTCGTCTCTAATTTCGACAGAAAAGTTCGCTTCTCAACACAAACCTTCAAGTTTGCTATGGTGGTAATATATAGGATGAAAGCGTTTCCCCAACAACACGCTGAACGTTCATCAACGACGGTCACACGCAGTCAGTGAGAGTAGATCAACGTAACCGTCGATGGAGGCCGATAGGGGATGGATGCGTCCCAACACGCCCTTCAAACTTATCCACCTCCGGAAATTGGCACTCATCGAGGAGGAGCGCAGTCAGGTGAACCTTGTTGACTAGGCAGATAAGCTGCATCAGTGCAAACTTCGTGAAAACGGTCAGGTGTTTACTTTTAGTGGCGACGGTTGTGTCGTGCTGGCATTATCCCTCATGCAGCTCCAATCGGGTAATTTGACTGTAATGTGTCTGTTGTATCTTCTGGGTCTGTCGCATTTTCCAGGTTACATCCAATCCAGTCAGCTAATCCGTACCAGCACTGTGCTGTTTTAAAATGAGTCGACACAAACATTTTACATGTTAACATCTTTCAACACATTTCGCCATCAAATTTTCAACTCCTTCGTGCACCTTCGTGCAGTCCGTGAGTCCACTTTCGTACAGAGTTGACGCGCAGCGCAAAGAATCCCTCGCTGTTTCCAGGGCCGTCTGTGCGGCTTCGGATCGGCATCTCAAGATGGCGGACCGCCGAGAAAGTTTTTCACAAAATCCCTCACTGTTTCCAGGGCCGTCTGTACGGCTTCGGACCGGCATCTCAAGATGGCGGACCGCCGAGAAAGTTTTCACAAAATCCCTCACTGTTTCCAGGGCCGTCTGTACGGCTTCGGACCGGCATCTCAAGATGGCGGACCGCCGAGAAAGTTTTTCCAGTGAGACGTGCCATGTCATGCACAACGATGACGTCAGGCAGCTGCAGTCAGCTGACCGGGCCGGGATGGTGCTCTCACAAGCTGTGGCCTCGCACGCTCGGCACCAGTGACGTCATAGTTTTGCAGAGACTTGTTTTGGGCGTAAGTTGGAGCCGCCCAGTGCCGGTTGCTTACCCGTGATTTGTGACGATGTGAATGTGTTTATGCTGCGGTGTAAGTTCATGTGCTTTGCTGTCCCATTGTGGTTGAAAATGTCCCACAAGTTATTGTTTCATGTGCTACCGAATTGGAGAAACATTTTGGTAAAATTACTGGAAGCTATGACAGTAGATTCAATAGCTAATACACAGTGTCTGGAGTGTATTTTGGGTGTATTTGCAGAAAGCCGTTAAATCATCATTTTTGTATAGTTCAGCAAATCATCATTTATAATAACACAGCAAAAAAAACAATGCCCCTCGTTCGTTTCGAGTCATGAAATGAATTCAGATGTTTCAAATGAGACATTTGCACCAATGCGCGACATTCAAAATGGGTTTACAAATTGCATGTGGTTTCCTGTAAAAAAGAAACAGATTCGATGTGTCAGTGATGTGCAGCGTTCAATATGGTAGGTCCCAAGAGCTGCGTAATCACAACATGAATATGTAATTGCAACCATCAACGTTTTATCTTCTACCAATGGCGATCAGCTTGTCGCAAGTGGATTACGGGCAAAGCCACGAGAACCTTTCAACGGCGCTACCACTCGTCGGAAGCTCGCTGTGTGATCTCTTCCGACTCGTTTAGTTTGTCCTGTGCGCCAATGAGTTGCAGCTTGATGCTTATTTCACCGAGCTTACATACAAGGATGGTTAGATACTAGTAGATGAAGCCGTCGGAGTGTGTACATCTGATGCCATTCGTTGTCATATCTTTAGTTCATAATCGAATGTGTTGAATCGAAATGTGACCCTTTGCATCAAGAGATTTTTAATTGCATGCTGTGCAAAATTTGACTGATTGCACTAAACTGGGTTGATGTAAACATGGCATGACCTGGACGATGGATGATTTTAATGAAAATTAGCCATTGTTTTCAGGATTCGGAAATCCACTCAGTACCATGCATGTGTGCTGTCGTTGGCAGTGTCACTAAAGATTACCAAAATACTGCATGTATGAAAGAATACTAAAAACTAAATGCTCACGGCATTTGGGTCCGAACGGTGAACTAACAAGTCATGCTGCACGTCCTGGGTAGACGCTTGAGTCCCATAATTCGTCCCGTCATTATGGTAGATTCAGGAAGCACCAGCTGTGCATTTGCTGCGCCCTTGCTGTTCGACATTCCATTCTGGTCGTCGGGAAAATGTTCCCCTCCACATGTGCTGCCTCGCACTGCTACAACCTGTATACGTCCTCGTTCGCGTGCTAGTTTCGACCTACGCGCAATGTGCGCGGCTGACCCTCGTTCGTTTCGCGCGAGTCCAACAGATGGCAGCAGGTGTCTCGCCGCCCGCCGCAGTGAACACCGCTCCCCGCGGGAGTCGGGATCACGCATCATTGCCTGTCGACAGTATTGCTCGGCTCGGGCCCGTACCGTATTTTTGTCCGGAGGTTGGAAATACATGTTGACTACGAAGAGATTGCCTGTTGCTGGGCGGACGTCGGCGCACCCGGCTGCTCATGACTGTATACTGGCGCTACCGTGCCTGAAAAAGCTCCGGGCAAGTGGGGGTTGAGACAGCTCGTCATAGCAGGGGGCACCGTTATTGCAGCCTGGGAATGCACGTCTGGGAATGGAGAGGGGTTCGATATTCACGGTGCCCGCCCTTCCTGCCTGGGTGAGAGACCGGCGAGACCGTACAGTCTCAGTAGCTGAGTACATCGTAAGGCCACAATTACACATACATGACATACACACATGCATAATAATACACACACACACGCACACACACACACACACACACACACACACACACACACACACACACACACACACACACACACACACACACACACACACACACACACACACACATATATATATATATATATATTATACACACGTGCGCGCACACATACGCACGTGCACGCACGTACGTACGCATGCATGCACACACCACACACACACACACACACACACACACACACACACACACACACACACACACACACACACACACACACACCACACACACACACACACACACACACACACACACACACACACACACACACACACACACACACACACACACACACACACACACACACACACACACACACACTCGACACGACTGGGGTCGTTTCATAGGACGTGAGGTGCACCTTCGCGGGCTGGGGCTGTATCAAGGCGCCGCCAGCAAACCGATAGAAGCGGACCTGGGTCGACACGATGTACGTAAAAACTTCGGGCATCCAGAGGCTTTGGACTCTTGGATCTGGGTCCTTGGCATTTGTTCTCACCGACCTGAATACAAAGACAGGTTAGAATTTTACAGCCGTTTCGTTTTACGCAGTTAAGCTAAGTTCTGAATTCTTACGACCCCATCGTTGCTTCTAAGTTATAAGCTGAAACAAGTTCCAATGCCCGAAATGAAAGCAGCAGATCTAATTGCACTTTCAAGCTAGTGCGCGCGTACATACGTAAAGCCCATTCAAAATTAAAAGCTCCCTCAGCAATCAGAATCACTTGAAACTTAACACCATGTTTTCCGGCATACGCTGTGAAATGCAATTAATCATGATTAATTGCGCACAAACTATTTGAGCAAAGGTCTGACAAAACGCACGGCGAAGCAATTTCCAGCCTGTTCGGCTGGCCGAGTGTAAGTCGGCGACAGGTGGCTGAAGGGCCCTGCGCCAGGCTTTGGCCTCCGCTCTGGCATGGACCGGGGCCCCACTCATAGACGGAGCCCGACTTCCACTGCCCACGAGTCTGCACCTGACTTTGCCATCACTGAGTGCACGCGTTGAGGGGAGGCTCGCAGGTACTCTGGTGTTTTGTACACGGTGCAGTTTATTGCGGACCCTGCGAAAGTAAGTGTGGAGGTTCATACGGACCGTATGACAAGATTTTATGACAACACACGGTCCAAAAGGTGTTGGGCGGCATAAGCCTTGCGCTCCGATCTCTCTCTCTCTCTCTCTCTCTCTCTCTCTCTCTCTCTCTCTCTCTCTCTCTCTCTCTCTCTCTCTCTCTCTCTCTCTCTCTCTCTCTCTCTCTCTCTCTCTCTCTCTCTCTCTCTCTCTCTCTCTCTCTCTATCTCACCCTCTCCCTTTCTCTTTCCCTTTCTCTCTCTTTCTCTCGCTCTCTTTTCATTCTTTCTCTCTCTTCCATTCCCACCCTGTCCACATCTATCATCCGCCACCCTCTTTGCTCCCCTCCTTTTCAACGCTCCGTACCCCCGCACCTCTTCCTTCTCACTTTGTGTCATGCCACGCCAGTCCGCTGGTCAAGCAATATTGCGAAAGATTGAAAAAATGTGTCATGTGGTACTATGCCACGATCAACCGGTGGTAATATGTTCCCCTCCTCGTCGAGGGAATGGGACGCCTCTGGCGGGAGTAGAGGCCACTTAGCGATGAGTCCCGGACTTACTGAGTCCGTCCCTCGCTGTGAACTGAGACAAACCTGCTTCATGTGCCATGCGGAAGGGTGGAACATAATCGACTTGACATCAAGATGACTTGAATTTACCAACTATTCGGCATGAATCTGATGTGTACTGTGCATGGCATTTTCCCGTGCCTACTAAACGCGTTGCACGCTCATATGGCCGGCGACCACCGACTGTTTGCGGCGACCACCGACTGACTGCGGAGGCTCTTTGAGCCAAGACTTTTTCGTGCTACATAAGCTGAAATTCCTTTGCCCCATGTAGATCACTGGGGAAATACGAGGAGCTGAGTGAGCCACAACCGTCAATGCTTGAGATTTGAAACTATGCTCTCGAATCGGCGAAGTTCTTTTACATTGGCCGTCGTCGTCTTCCTGTTCAGCTTTAGCCACTCTCACTTATTTCGGTGAAAATTTTGTTCGAACCTTTTCATTTGATGAACTTCTGAGATCAGAGAGATCAGAGATCAGAGAGCAGGCCAAGCAGTGCTCGTCGCGTGAGTCTTAACGCCGCCATCTGACCATGCCCTGCTTGCAAGAAAAGGTCCCAAGAAATGCAATTCCATATGCCAAAAACCACCCCCCACGCTCCTACTTTTGAAGGGGTTAGTGTGGTGCTAGAAAGGTGGTAGCATTTTTAGCATATACATATATGTATAATATAAATATGGCATATATATGCAACATATACATAACATATATATTTAGTATGCGTGTGCGTATAAGCACCTTGTTTGAATGTAACACCTTGTGACATTTAACAAGGTGCTCTCCATCCTCTCGTGCTCTCCAATTCGCACTACTGCGGTGCTGTGCCAAAAACCAGACCTTTCAGGGTGCTCGTATTTAAGCACCTTGCCCTGGCATCAACCTGTAGCTCCCGGTTCTACTCTAAGCGCCGCGTGATAGCCTCTAACTCACTTCCATTTTAGCACTGGACTTCTAGATTTAGCCTTAGTAGAGCAGTACGGGCCACGAAGGGCGGATCTGACAAGCACGTTACAATAACAATGTAGACATGACACGGCGACTGAAACGTTAACATCCATCACAAACATACGGGACCTGTTAACCATCACTAATTCTGCGTTATCTCACTGTACTAATCTTTGCCACAGATTTCAACGTTAAACAGTCCAAGTTTCTGCCACGCGATGAAGAAATAAAATAAGTGAACTTCTGCGTCGTGTATTTTTTCGAGTGCCGCAAAACTGAACAAAAAAAAAGACACCTTGACCTGTCCTCGTGGCGGCCGGGATTCCCGTATTTCAGCGCGGCCGACCAGCCGCTCTGGCACCGGCGACACCGGGAACACACTTGGGCCACGCGCGTTTGCAGCGGGGTCAGTGAGCGCGACCCAGCCGGCGGCGACGTTAGCAGCCAGCCCATCAGTCCAGTGGCCATACGGACGCCGGCGGTGGCCGCGGAGAAACAGCCCCTCTCTCTGTCAGCCTTGGCGTCGGTGGCACCTGGGGCCACGCGGCGCGATGCACTTATCACATCCTTAGGCTCACAGGTTCCCGTGGAAATTTAGGGGCCTTCTGGGGCACTCGGCGGCCGGCATCAATCCCCACCATGTGGTGCATACACTGTCAGGGCGTTTAGGCTCTCAAGAAAGGGAAGCTGAAAACCGAATGTGATAACGCGAGGCACAGCAGACGCTCCCCAGCGTCATCGGTCTCCGCAATCAGCACTCCGCCAGCCACCACCTTGCTTCCCTCGAGGTGATGGACGACGCTATCGGCGGGCCCCACGGACAGGATGGATTTCAAGTCCGCCCTAAAAAGCTTCTCCATCGGACGGGCGGTCTTATCTGCAAATACGGAGCCAATTGCCGCCAAAGGGTCTTTATACAGTATGTAACAGAATGCAGGATGGGACTTCAAATGTGGCCTAATTATTCTATCAGCAGTCGGTTCTATAGTAGGTCGCCTCAACTTCTGGAATAAATATTGCTGAAATGGCTCGTGACAGCAGAACGTTGGAATTTATTGAAGCTCTATACAATATACATGAATTTCCACTGCAGAATTTCTACGCCTATAAGCGTACAAGCGCATGCCACGACTAGATTTCATATCTGCAAAGCACTTGACAGTACGCGCAAGACCGCACGCCAAGGCACTGAGACAGTCTTGCTTGAACAAAAGGAAAAGCCTTGAACCTGGGCGCTGCGGCCTGACCCGCACGGCCGCCTGAAAAGTGCGTGCGCACAGTATGTGGAGTGGAGGACGTGGGTGCATGGATGGAGGCCGGTGTGGGTACGTGCGTGTATGGGGATGTGTGCGTGTCCCGCGTGCGTGCACGGGAGGGTATGCTGTCTGATGAAGCTCACAACCGAACCTTTCAACACAAGGTTAACAGTTATACAGTTTACAGTTTAACAGTCAACACAAGTAACAGTAACAGCCTCTAGACCATCCTCGACGGACGGATACCGTGCTAACGCCTATGTCGGACACGAATCCAGCAGGTGACAACATAATTTCAGGTCACTCAACACGCGTTTCTGGTCAGCATCTGGAACGTAGAATTTGCACGTCTTGTAGCGCTATATAAAGCCCGGTTCCATCTTAAGAATACGCATCGAGAACTGTAATGTTTCCCTTAAAAGTAAAGCAATGACAATGCGAATAAACTTAAATCGAGGTGGCCCTCGAACAACTACGACCCTTTACTGTCAGGTCCATAAAATTAAGAGCGAAACGATCCATGAACTTTCATTCGCATGAAGCTCAGAGATTCATTGCACTTTTGTCAGAGCGCTCCAGGGCACGACCAAAGTCGTCGAGGCTGCCTGAGACGATTTCTACCTTCGACTTGATGAAGTCCGGAATACTTGCACACCCTATCCACCTCCCGGTGAAACTGAAGGCGTATGGCAGCTGTTACACACGCAAGCCTAAACCGTGCCCTGATCTGATAATTCAGTGAGACGTTGCCCAGCACGTGGTAGCAACTTGATCTGCTCAAAATAAACATGGCTAGTTACAGAAATCTCATTTAACGTTATAAGAAAACG